AGTGAGGAGACCCGTCTCTCAGCAAGACAGAGGGAAAGCTGCAAGAGTAGAAACAAAATTATTGACCTTTACAGTGCTGTTTTTAAATCCTTGTCATTTATTCCAGTAATTATATCTGTTTAAAGAAAAATATCTTTTTGCTAATAAAAATATGCCTGCTACAAAAGACCTTGTAAATATCTGCAGAAAGAACCCTGAGGCTTGAAGTGAACCCTTTGAGACATAACAGGAGACATTAATATTAATTAGCTGGATAAATGTTTTAATACTTAATGCTGGTTAATATCCAGTAAAGCACTATTTCTGGCTGGGTTAGAATTTGCCATTACTTAACTTGTTGACTACTATAGTAAGACTACACTAATGAATGCTTCTATTCACAAACAGTTTGGTTCATGAACTGAAGCACTCTGCAAAATTTTGCTATCATTTGAGAGCTCTGTATCGGGTGACAAATATGACTGTGGGCATCTTCCCCATATGAACATGAGCATGACTCTCTGCCCTGTTCTGCATGTAGTCAGTTTCCTATAGTCAAGATCATGGTTGCAGACAGATCTGTGCACACTTGCTGTGAAGTTTGTTGTGTGCTTTTTAGCACATACAGTACAGGGCACTATCATTTGACGCAGTACGGTCCCAAAGAGTACACAGAGCAAGTGTGGCAGTAAAAAGGAAGTGCAAACAGAACGAAGGAGACAAGAAGTGCAGAGCAAGAATGGTAAGAAGAAGGTTTCTGAGGGAAATAACCATTGAAGTAAAGAAGGGAATTGCAGAAAAGCGTAAGTGTGGTACTCTTATGGCTTATCCTGCCTCAGAATACATGATAGTGACATTGACAGACTCATTTTTTTTTTTGAAGAATAAAGATGCCATCGAGGAGCTGATGTGGCAAAAGGAGTAATGATGTTAACCAGGCAGAGGAAACAGGTGCTGAAAGAGGTGGAAAACTTTTGTCAGTGTGGTTGCATGTGAAACAGCAGGAAGATGATAGCATTAGCGAAGTTATCATTTGTGAAAAAGCCAGGAAAGTGGTGATTTACTGCAAGAAAACACCACTACAAGAGGAACATATGATACATTTAAAGCCAGGAAAGGGTGGTTTGTTAAATTTTGCAAGAGAAGTGGCATCCACAGTGTGATGAGACATGGTGGGGTTTCCAGCTCTGACAAGGTTGCAGCAGAAGCCTACAAGAAAGAATTCACAGAATTCGTGAAGGCAGAAGGGCATGTCACTGAATAAGTGTTCAACTGCAATGAAACAGGGCTCTTCTGGAAGAAGATGCAAATAGAACCTGTATCAGGCAGGAGGAAAGGGTATTGCAGTGTTGTAGCAAACGCGCTTATTTAACTGAGTCACCCACAGAGGCTGGATATAGAGACAAGCAAGTTTATTAAGCGCTGGCAGTGGGAACCCAGTGCATGACTAAGCACCGACCCTGAAGGTCAGGAGGGGAGAATAGTTACACATCTCTAGTTCCGGGCCTGGGGGTGGGTGCTGATACGATTTAGTGCAGCTACAGAAACACTAGAAAGCATGGGCTTAGCTTGTAACAAAGGAACAAAGGTGTTTGACATTTTACGTAGGGGACAAGAAGTCTTATGACAGAGCATGGGGTGGTATTGAGTTAGGTAAATATGACAACATTTACAAGACACAAACTTAAGGAAACAGAAACTTCAGCTTTAAAATGGCACTCGAATACAAAATGGTGCTGGTTAATTTTTTTTCCCATATCACCAGGACACAAGCCCATGAAGGACAGGTTGACCCTTCTGCTGTGTGCAAATGCAAGCACCAGTCTGAAGATTAAGCCACTACTGGATTCCATTCCCAGACCCCTCAGCATTCAACAACAGAATGTGAACAAGGCCAGGCTGCTTGCCATGTAGAGGGTCAATGGGCAAGCTTGGGTCATGAGGCAGTTGTTCATGGAATGGCTACATGAGGTCTTTTACTCACTATGAAGAAATATCTTTCTGCCAACTGCCGGAAAGGTGCCTTCTTCTGATGCACAATGCCCTGCCACACTCCAGCCTTGGTGGACAATACGGACGCTGAGTTTGACTTTATGAAATCAAGTTCCTCCCCCAGTGTGACACCTCTTCTGCAGCCCATGGACCAGCAAGTGATCTGCAGCTTCAAGGAGCTGTGCACAAAGGTGCTCTTCTCCAGGTGCTTTAGTGTCAGTGAAGAGATGTCCTTGGCTCTGAAAGAGTTCTAGGAGAAACATTCCAATACCTTCCACTGACAAAGCCTGAGAAGAAATCATGATTTCTTCTGGACCTCCAACTCAGCCTGGAGAAAACTGGCCAGAATGTATCACTGAATGTGACTTTGAAGGGTCTGATCACAGGTAGTGGAGGAGATTATGTCCACGGACAAGAGTGTATTGTCTGAACATCAGTGGTACAGACATTATTGAGGCTTATTGAGAACCATAAGGAGGGGCTGATGATGGAGGAACTTGCTGAGTTCCAGAGTGGGCAGCGGAAGGTGCTTGTTGAGCATTCCACTGAGGAAAAGGAAGATGGGGAGAAGGTTAACAGTGATATAATAAAATCCACTGTGGAAAAATTGAATGAGTGCCAGGGTTTCTTCGAGAAGTACCACCCCTACATAAATGTAACGAACAGAGTGTTGAATCTGAAGAACAATAACATGGTCACATTTGCAAAGAGTTATACAGCACAGGAAAAAACAAGTGGCATTAGGCAGATTTGAGGAAACCCCTGAAGGAGATCTCCCCACTGTCCTTAGGAAGGACAACCAATATAACAACCTCCTCCACACCTGTCTTCCTGTCCACCATGCCGGAAGCCACCTCAAGCAAGGTTAGTTTTCTCTGTCTTCATACTGTCTTGTACGTTGTTTTATATTTTTGTGATTAAAAATGTATATCGGGGGCTGGGGATTTAGCTCAGCGGCAAAAGCGCCTGCCTGGCAAGCGCAAGGTCGTGAGTTCGGTTCCCAGTACCGGAGAAAAACCAAAAAAAAAAAAAAAAAAATGTATATCGTTCAAAACAGAATAATCTTATTTATTTACATAGAATTTTATAGGGAATCGTGATTCCATTTCCTACCAATTTGGTTCCCGACCAGAAGTGTGGGATGAATTAAGTTTGTGAATCAAGGTACCACTGTAGACAAGAACAGTTGTTCATCTTTTTTCAAATATATCAAATTGGTTATTGGTACTTGATCATGTCCACAAAACTGTAAACGTGTAGGCATAAGGCACACTCTCATAGGCCGTGCTCGGAGTCTCCCCAGCTCACTTTTCTGCGTGGGCTTTACGACAGAGGGGAAGCTAACAGGGATGCTGTGCATACTGTGCGGGCATGAAAGCCTATCGTGGCAAACCTCTACCTCGTTAACAGCGTTCTTGCAACGTCTCACCTTACCTAGGAGCTAATTTTGCCTACGAACAAACGTAGTTTACCACGCCCTGAGGTCTGGGCAGAGTGCGATGCAAGATAGGAGGAAGTGGGGAGGAGGTTAAGATGTTTCCCCGGAGAATGAGAGTTACATAGGGATCTAGACTCCCCTGACTATCACCAGGCTGTTGAATCCATCAGAAATTTAGCTGTGCAACATAATCTCAAATGAAATATGGTCTGGGTCTGTTTCTTATATCTTCATTAAGCATGGAATACATTTACAGGTAGAAAGAATTTTCTAGGATATGGGAATAATAAACATAATTTGAAAGAGACACAATTTCATTTTAACAAGTTTAGAATTTTGTCTCTGGTTCTGAGTAAATTATTCCAAAAGATGTGAGTCACAGCAATGGCTTCTCTTGGGGGGTGTTGTACAGCCCACTCTTAGGTGCTTCACTTGGCATTTCATTTCAGTTCCCGCACGTGTAGTCCCTTTTCTTTAATACTTCTTTAGCAGGTGATTCCTCTCTATCACTTCTCAGTTGATATTTTCTCTTATAGCTTATACTTAAATGAAATTTTCTTATAAAGAAAATTCTTAATAACATCACTATTTCTGCACGTTGTATTACTGTAAATATGGGAAACCTTTTATTTGTTGATACTTTGGGGCACTGACTATTTTTGAAGGGAATATGGTAGCTCATCCCTCAGTTTATTTATTGCTGCAAAGGGAAAGTGAGCACAATTTGTTACCGTTCTTCAAGCTCAATGACTGGAGATCATTTTTAATGCATTCATCCTATCACTTTTTAAAGCTGAGCTGTTGTTAGACTCCCAAAACCATAGTCTATATCATCACTGTTAAAGATGTGATTCAAACTAGCTATGGATCCTAGAGGGAAGCTGTGGATCAGTTATATAGTCATGACGAGGAATATGACAGTGACTTAGTATTTGCTGAGTAACTGCATGTTAGGCCCTGTGGGAACAGATTTAGTTATATTATCTGATTTCCTGAAGCAATTATGGACTGATCTGCGACAGTTCTACCCCCCACATTACAGATAAGGAAACTTGAACTTGAGTTATTTGAGGACACTCAGGCAGAAAGTGCCAGGGGGAGATCAAACCAGAGGCTGTTGTGTCCAGTTCAAACCGTGGCCAGCGTACCACAGCATCTCTCTTACATAATAAAAGGCCATCCTCCACCCTCCTTCACACTCTCTTCTTCCCCAGAATCCTGAGTCTTGAGAGGTCACTTCCCACCAGTCCTCAGATAATTAGGGCCAAAGCTGGCAGAAGCTTTTATTTAAAAATCACTCTGAGATGGCACATTCTGAAAAACAGAAAATCCCATTTTCTCTTCCTAAGTACCAGAATTAGCACCATCCTCTTCCTGCACTCCTCTGGGGTACAGTAAAGCAGAAAGCCACCTCCCACAACCTCTTGTTTTATTGAGAAGTGTTATTATACCCCTGATAGGAAAACAGGACACACTGTCTCTTAATGTGAGCCTCTTTATAGAAAGAACAAAGCACAGTGGAGCAATGGAATCGGAGTCCTGTTTACCTTGTTGGAGGTAATGGGAAAAAAAACAATGGGACACACTTCCATTACTGTGGGATGCATTTAATGATAAAATCTAATTAATTGCCAGATCTATATTTTGTTAATGTTTTTATTGCTATGTGTTCCCAATACAACAGCATCAGTAGTGTACACTTTGAAAAGAAATTTTTAGCTTAGTAGGAAAGAAAGCCCAAAGGTCAGAAGGGAATACCTATATACAATGTGTGTGTGTGTGTGTGTGTGTCCAACTTTATAATACCCCTGTGGGCCAGACATACATATATGCAAGTAAACTAGAGAGAATTTCATTCTGGGAAAATTTTAAGTCTCAGGGATTGTTTTATATCTGGAATTTACCTATTTTTTGACCTTAGAAATTCTTGCAGAAAGTAGCAGCAATTCTTTAGAGGTATTGAGTCAATGGCTTAGGCCGTTAGTTTATAAGAGTTTAAAATCCAAAGTCCTTGTATATTCTGTGCTTTGAGAAGGTAACAATTGTATTTTAGTTTCCATAACATGTTTTTAGACATTTCAGGTAATGACCTCAAAAAACACTAAGCTAACAATACTTAATCTTTAAGCATAATTCAGGAAGCACTTCTCTCTTTCACATTCTTTTAAAAATGTTTCTACTTCACAATTTCATTAAATAGCTACTTAAATTCCTATGTTTCCTTGAAGGGGAACAAGTCATCAACTTTGCATCAACTACCTTAAAAATGTAAAATGTCTACATAACATCAAATTTGTTCAATTTTAGCTCTGAATTGGCTGAGGTGGTTTGCTTAAATTTCTCATCAATGCACAGAACAAATCACACTTCTCTAATTATGTCTCTCTAGTTTACTAAAACATGCATTGATATTAGTGTAAATATTTAGCACATAAAAATACCATCAAGAAAAAAAATCAAGTTTTAATAAATAGCTTCAGTTCTCAGTTCTATATACAAGTACTATACATCTACTCCCTGGAGAGAGCATTTCTGGTTTTGCTGTGTGCGAGGCGATCACTGACATAAGTTATGAGCACATTATTGCAGTCAGATGCATTGTGGTTGTGAACACTTGGATACGAACCATGCAGAAAATAAATATCTCAACCATTGATGAATGCTTTCTTGAACCTGCTTCCAAAGCACTCCCATATCTGAGGGTCAATTCCAGTTTGACGATATGTTTCTCAGCTACCAATACACAAATTATCCCCATGTTTCCTTTCTGGTTTTTACAGTACATCAAGTATTACTGTTTGAATATCAACAACGGGAAAATTTTGAAAAGCAAAAACAACACAAGAACACAGGTCATCCGGACTAGAACTTCACGGTTGTCTTGCGCAGGCACACTTCCGGTTTGCTGTGACCACAAGTGTGTTCAGCCCGCACTTACAAGGATGCAAGGTGAGGACGGCAGTGAGATCCGTTTACTGAAGCTTGTCTTTTTCTTTTTCTGTAATTTAGGCACCATATTGCTGACTTAACAAAAAGAAAAAGACAAAACCATACAACCATACAAGTTGTACTGTCAGTAGCTGTAATTCTAACTTCTCTGTAGTATTCTGCTTTGCAAGCCAACCCATGGAATGTCAGATAAGTCAAATAAGGCAATACGCAATGACAGGCACCTAGAACATCCAGCAATGTAAGATAGTAAACAATCGATTTGAGAACATCTCTTAAAATAATATGGATTTCTGCAATGTACAATATTTACACAACAGCTGCAAATTTGCTCATACAATATTTCTAATATAGATAAATAGGAATACAAGTCTGAGAATTCTTTGCCCCATTTCCAGAATTTCTTCTTGAAGTGTAAACCGTTGGCATCTCTTTAATTTTTACTTTTTAAAAGAAAAACATTAGTTGATACGCATGGTTCATTCTACTCCCTGTTCTTTAGAGAGTGACCAACACAGCCACTTGCTTTCCTTCCGTTGGTAATCTTTGGTGCTTTCTTCCAACGAATCCTGGCAGATGAGCCCATGGAGAAGAGGAGGAGGATGAAAGCAACGAGAAAGTGAACCAGCACTTTTTGTTTTCCCACCGACAGATGAAATGAGCTGACGGTCCGTGAGGCTTTCCACTTGGAACAAGGTCTATGCCCCATGCTGAGGGAGGCTGTCCAGGTTTCCTTCTGGTTCCCTGCCTGCTGGTTCTTCCTCATCTTTCTACGGTGGACGAGCTTAGCGGATGTCTCTTATTGATAATCTTTCCATCGTTCCTTGAGGTTCTTGTCTGTGAAGCACCTATTGAGTCACTCACTGCAAGAAAGGGAGCAGCAGCCACCTCTGAGTGTGAGTGAGGCGAGGAAGCCGGCACGGAGAGCAAGCTCAGCGCCTGACTTCCGGCCTGCGGAGCCCCGCGCCTGGGTGAGTTAGCACCAGCAGGCCTGCTGTTCGGCCTGAAAGCAGCATTTGCGTTCGGGCTTCCCACTGAAGAGATGCTTCGCACAGGTTTTTTCTCAGCAGGCGTCTCTGCGTGGGAAGGAGCCACAGGTGTGGGGATAACTAGGGCACGGGGGAGGTCTGTGGGGCTAAAGAGGGCGTCGTCGTGCATCTCAGCAGTCTCTGGCAGGTGTGGCGGTGGCAGCGTGCTGCTGCGCTTGCTGCAGGACTCACAGCACAACTTGTTGTAACCTGGGATGGAGCAGTACCGGGCCAGCACCTCCATCTGACAGAATATGGACTTGTCTCCCAAACATGGCTCATCTGCAGAAATTAAAAAGAAAAGCATGATACATAAAAAGATCTTATATCATAAAAGGATTTCTGTAGAATCTCACATCAGTGGGAACTGTCCACATGAACCTTCACATTAAAAATACAAACATTAACACAAATTTACTGAAGTCGGCAGTTCTTTGTCTACAAAGTATTTGTGAGGCCCACATTGTAGCATCTCCGCCAGGAGTCTCGATGACTGAGGGTAGTTGTTTCTTCTGAGTAGAAACATATATCTGATTTTAGAATGAGAAAATAGAATTTATTTTACTATATACATTTTTTACGATAAAAGTATCTTTTAAACAAACGTATTATATTTTATTTCTGGCTTTCTAATGGAGTACCCTCTAAATTAAATTTAAAGTCATACATTAGGGGCTGGGGATTTAGCTCAGCGGCAAAAGCGCCTGCCTGGCAAGCGCAAGGTCGTCAGTTCGGTTCCTGGTACCGGAGAAAAACCAAAAAAAAAAATAAAAAATAAAGTCATACATTAAAGACTCACTGGAACAAAAGATATATAAAAAGTCTGACCAAAAGCAAAATGAAACTACTATTTTGATAAAAAGAATAATCTCTGGCTTCAAAGCAGTCCTGGGTGTGAGGACAAGCAGACCTATGCTGTGGCACCCAGAAATCTGCGCCCCCCGGGATGGTGCTCCCACATCCTGGATAAACAGGGGGCTCCGTGCTGTGGCTTCTAGGAAACAGTCACTTCAACCTGCTCTGTAGCTTGCCAAAGAAACAGAAGAACCTTTTTCCAAAGTTTTGGGGAGAAAAAGGAGGGTCAGTTGCAGCAGTCAGCAGAGGGCTAAGAAGACTGACTTTGTGAGCCGCCGTCCTGAAACTGTGCAGTGGTTCCCGCTGCGCTGACATTTGCAGGTCTCTCGCCCAGTACACGTCTGTATTTCTTGTTAGCTAAAGTAGCCATCGGCTATGCTGTGACTGCCTGAAGATTACACGAATGGGTTTCACCTCGTCTCAATTCCTCACCATTTGTGAATTCCTTTGCTAGAGCTATATGTTAAAATAAGGAGATTTCTTCTTCCACTCTGTTTACAGCTTTAGGTAGCAGCAGGAAAGGACCTTACTCAGCCCTGCAATCTTTGTCCCTGGCCCCTTGGCACCACCCTTGTGCGCCTGGGTGACAGGACCCAAAGGCATGGCTCGCCATCAGCAGGAGTATCTCAGCCTGAGGCTCTTAGAGGTAGGATGTGCAACTCAAGGAATTGGAAAGGGGAGGCAGATTCTGAGGAGAAGTGCGCATGAGTTTATGCTCACTGGCCTAGATACAGAGCAGAAAGCTTCAAGGCAAATAATGAGATATTCACTACAACCAAAATATGGAGTCACATGACAAAATCAATCATAAAAATTCAGGAAACTTTTCAGCATTCTCACTCTGCCCCCATACCATTCTAAGAACCTCCGAAAAGGGATCTTATAGCTGATCTTAAAAGATCACTTGATTCTAACAGCAGCTTCAGACTCTGAAGGCAACTGTTACACATTTGACTGAAGTAGTGAAGAAATATGCGAACTTTGAGAACACTCAGAACTGGCCTTCAGACCTCAATTTCAGAGCAACGGAGCAGCTGGGAGGAGTGTGGAGCCCCTGACACAGTTATGCCTCCTCCTCAGCCCTTGGTTTTGCAACAGAAATACTTTCTTCTAGCTAAAAAGGATGGTGAAGTATCTTCTTTCTGGTAGCTTCACACATACGCGGAAACTCATTAGCTCTGCCAGCAATTAAGGAACCGGAAGCCTCCTCCTGACACAGCAACTAAGACGAGCAGGACAGCGACAGGAAATCTGAAGTTCCTCACTGTGTCAGCTTGGTCTTTTGCCTTTGTCTTAGTTTTCGAGCTGTCCAATGTGAAAAGACTAGATATTCAGCAGTCCTGTGTCTCCTCCCGATGGTCACACTTGTTCTTGTCATTTCAGATGAAAATTCATGACACTGAGGTATAAAGATTGGAAGCTTGAACTTTTCATAACACAACACATTTGATGTAATAGTGTCTTGTCAATTATGTTTTTAAAAAGAAGGACAAAACGTGTTAACACTGAGCCAGTGATTCGCTCGCAGAGTTGGAGGCCCAGGCAAAAGCAGCATCTTCAGCCCCGCGTCCCTGGCGAGGCACAGCGATGCCAACGGTCATCATGGGAGCGGATGCAGGAGATGGCATTGGAGAGGAAGATGGTGATGGGGATGGCAGGCTGGGAGAGGGAGGCAGGGAAAGTGGGAAGCGGGTGAGGAGCAGAAAGGGGTCTGGGAAGGAGAAAGGGGCAGGCGGGTGCTAAGTGTTGATGCTTACGCCTCTTCAAGCTTCGCATGATGAAACATAACCCCACGATGATGGTGCCAGGAGGTGGGGTTTTGGAGGGTGATGAGGCCATGAAGGTTCAGCATTGTGAATAGGATTAGAGCCCCTAGAAACTTGGGGCTGCTCCCCAGCCCCTCCCGTGACATGAAGACAAAAGAAGAAAGCATCTATGAAGGATGCTCCAGACACAAGCCCATGGTACCCTGACAGGCTTCCCAGCCTCCAGAACCACAAGCCACATGTTTCTATTGTCTCTAACTTAGCTGGTCTAAGGCATTTCCTGAATAAACTAAGAGAGCGGGGGACAAGGGACAGGGAGAGACAGAGCGAGAGGGAGGAGGGAGAGAAGAGGAGAAGGCAAGGCAGGGATGGGAGGCACGGCTGGGGAGGGGGCAGGAATGTGAGGATGAAGAGTACGGCGGAGATGCCCTCTGATGAGATCGGGTTAAGGGAGGCAGAGACTCCACAGCCTTAGAGAAGGACAGAACCACTTGTCTCCAGAGAGCAAAGCAACCAGAAGGGGACCATCTGATAGACACACACCAGCCAGTATATTTTTTGTGTTTTAAATAAAATAAACTCCATTCTTTCAACATGGCACGCTGCTGGGTCAGGCAGTTGCTTAACTTTAGCGCATGTGCAGGGTGATTATTTCAAATCACCATCTGCATGAATGACATCACTGGAAACAGCTTTAGAGCTGAGTAACATTGATCCTGTACATGTCTAAAATAATGATTTCAGTCACATATTGCAAAACCTGCTGTGATATTACACCTTTTAAAATGAGATGAAGTTTTATTTAAAGACTATAACAGGAAAAATAAGCAGCTCCCCCCAGGAACACAAACTGACCAGAGCTACCGCCACCTGACAAAGCCAATTCTCTGAGACCACCGCAGGGTCACGACCATTGCATGGCTTGGCACAGCACTCTAGATAGTCTTCTCTGACCCATATTTCGGGAGCATTTTCCTCTGATTAATGCTCAATAAGTAAATATGCTCCAGAGCTTATCCTGGAAGAAAACCTTGCTTCCCGAAGTTGGCAACTAGGATCACGCAGTTTGCACCTACCTTGGCAGGGCGGCAGCTGACAGGGCCTCTCGGACGCAGGCCTTTCACCATCACAGTGGTCCCCAGCCTTACAGAGGACTTGCCTCATCTCGGTGCCTTCGCCGCATGTCACAGAACACTGGAAAACAGAGGCTGGAGTTACTCATGCCTATCCCAGCAGGCCTGGGCACACCATGTATACCCGCACACTGCCACAGCGGTCTATACCCTGGCTCCTCCGTGACCAACCTGGCCACATTACTTTTCCTGTGTAAACCCTGGCTTCCTCCTCTGGAAAGCTGGGTGCAACGCTCTGGGCCTAGAGCATGCTGCAGGACTGCATGACGGTGCAGGAAGCCACGTGTGCAAAACAGAAGAAAGTGCTTGCACCTGCTGAGGACGGCACATGAAGGAAGCCACGGAGAGGACAGTGTTAATCCCTGCTGCTCTCCAGAGACGGGATCATGGTACTGAGGTTCCCTGCTCCTTTATCTTTCTTACAAATGCAGACTTTACTGACAAGCTACCTTGGCTAACCCAACCTCTTTACCCCATCCATCTTTTTCCCTCATGAAGGGGCTGCCTGCTGTAAAGCTAAGGGTTGACACCTAGGCAGAAGCTGGAGGACCTGTGTCCAGGCCTCTGAGGAGGCAGGGACACCAGTGACCATCACCATTCTACATGGAAAACCTCCTCATGCCTGCTGGTTCCTTCCTGGCTGGTCTCCACCTCCACACTTGTGTTCTGATTTTTGATGCCCCTTCCTCCTATAGACTCTTCGATGGCCCCAGAACTCTTTATTTTGAGTCTTTAGAAATACTAAGAACAGTGATAATACAGGTGACACAACAGAGTCAGCTAGTCACCAAACAAGCATCACCCAAACAAGGCCACGCTGAGGGCCGGACAGCAAAGCAAACCCTCTGGGAAATGTGCAGACCCCAGGTGAGCCCAGGGCCCACGGACTCTGCCTGGCCAGCATGTGGAGGGAAGCGTGCTGCCTGCTTCTGCATGTGGAGGATGGAATGTAGGGGTGGGGACAGCCTGGAGTGTGGGAATCTGGGCTGGGGCTTACAGCTCTGGTGGAGGGGGGAGCAAGGCAGGGGAAGGGAGGAGGCTGGAGCAGGTGCACTCTGTTTATTCAGACGGGACACAGAGCGGGAATGAAAGCAGACCGAGTAAGAGGAGTTGCGTGGTGCACGGAAGAGCAGGGCTCTGCACGGGGTGTTGGAGGCTTAGGGTGTCCTGAGGGACGTCAACAAAGATCTCAGGCGCAAGGCCAGTTACTTTCAGACACCTCCATGTACAAAACACCAACTGTTGTTTGCCTACAGCTAATCTTACCTGCAAATACTGTTTTAAGGGTTCATTTTCCTAATCCCTCCCCTGATGACACGGAAGCCAGACTGACACGTGCTGCACACATTAGCACATGGACCTCACACACCCACCTCGTGCCAGGGTCCTGTTTTCCACTGGGCTGGGCAGGGCACCCTGTTGCAGGGCCGGCGGCTCTCAGGACGTTCCCCGACACAGTACTTGCTGTTCACAGAGCGGTTGGTGCTGTCATGTAGCGGCTGAAGGCAGCGGACAGTGCGGAGCTGGAAGCCAGAGCTGCCACAGGTCTTAGTGCAGTGTTCCCAGTCCTCTGCGACCCAGCTGCGCATGGGATTGAGATAGGATAGTGTTATAGGGGGCATGGGGCGGGAGCTCCTGGACCTGACGCTCCCTGAGTGACTTGCAACCCAGGGGGCCCACTGCAGGTACAAGTGGTGTCTAGACCCCAACCTTTCGCTCTGTCCTTCCTGCCTCCCAGTGACTCTGAAACCTTCAGTCTGAAGGATTCTCAAAGAGAGTTTCTGAAATGCATCTGGAGGTTGCCCTGTGCAGTTCAGCCAGGACAGCACTTTTCAGAAACATCTGCTCACACCCAGCTACACTGTCAAGGAGGTGCAGCCCCAAAAGTGCACAAAGCAGACCATCCATGGCTCGCTAAGGCCACCAGATTTGAGTGCGGCTGCTTTTTCAGGAAACGTATAGTTTACGTGTGTTTTAATATTACAATTGGATTGGAACATTCTAACAGCTCTATTTCTACAGTAGCTGCCATGAAGAAGTGTGTATCTATAGTGTTTGGAAGTCAATATTCTGGCCTTTTCTGGGCCTGACCAAAAGGTAAAGGCAGCATATGCCCACAGGCCTGGATGGAACCTGCTAATAGGAAGGCAGGGATAGTTCAAGGTGACACTTTCAGAAAGATTTCCTATGGAACATCCCAAAATTCTGAGTGAACATCAGTGCCCAAGTCCTCTCCAAGTATGCTCTGGATACTGTCTTTTGAACAGTTCCCCTTTCATATAGTTACTGAGTCCCACAGGACTGTGACAGTGGAATGCACCTGGTAACCAGAATTGTCTGTCTATAAAATGCACGTCTCAGGAATGCTTGTCTTTTAATAAGAGTCACTGCTGAGGTCTTCAAAACCTAGCAAAATGACTTAGCCCAGTTAAGGCAGCACACTTCCCTCCTCATGCTGGTCAGGATGTGCTTGCCTGGGGTCTGCACATTTCCTGGGGGGTGGGGCTTGTTTCGATGTCCAGCACCCAGCGGGGCCTCCTGTGGGTGACGCTTGTTTGGTGACTGGCTGACTCTAAGTCTAGCTAAGTCATCTGATTGCCAATCTGAGAGACAAGGACAGTCTTAAACTTGAATCCTAAAGAGTGACAAAAAATTGGCAGTTATATTTTGGTACTTCATACATACAGAAAGAAAAAGACAACTGCAGAGGGCAAAAAACCTGCAAAGGATAACAAAATAATATGCCTCAGAGCTCACAGTGCACTCCTGTAATCCCAGCGCTCGGGAGACTGAGGCAGGAGGATCACCATGAGTTCAAGGCCAATTTGCATGAGACCTTTTCTCAAACAAAAACAAAAACAAATAAAACAAACAAACAAAAATCTACTATGCCTCAGTTATATACTCACTAATGAACTAGATAGGGGTAGAAGGAAAATACTTACAGATAAGGCAAAAAAAAGGAAATCATATTTAATATCCTGGAAGTGACCAAAATATTGTATTTATGAAATAAAATAAAATGTATTAATAAAGGAACTATTCAACAAAATAAAACTTTTGGATATTAATGATATGATAGCAACATTGCAAAACTCAGCAAGTGTAATAAAAGATGAATTACCAACTCTCCAAAAAAAAGAAAACACTGAAAAACATCACAGACAGTTTTCAATCAAAATTTCCCAGAGATGAAAGGTATTAGTTTTATGTTCTAGAAGTCTACAGGCGTCATTTGCAGCAACATGGATGAACCCGGAGGACATTTTATTAAATAAAATATGCCAGATACAAAGAGACTAATAGGACATGACCTCACATGTGGAATCTAAGAGAAGCGAAGTCATGGAAGCAGCGAGCAGAAAGGTAATTTCCAGAGGCTGGATGGGATGGGGGGACAGAATAGGAGGCACTGGTCATAAATATAAAGTTTCAACTATATGGGCTATTTTTGAGACTCTGTAAAATACGGAGATTCTAGTTAATAATAATGTTACATATATTTCAAAATTCCTAAGGGCAGACTGCAGGGTGTTCATATTTACACACAAAAGACAAATATGTAAGTTGAAAGATATACTGATTAGCTTGACTGTATCATTCCATATCAAAACATCACCCTGTCAAGTCCACAGCACCATGGATAAGAAGAGATAACCACCATGATACTCTCTTCATTGTGAAATTGCAGTTTTCTAGGAACAAAAATATTCCACACACTTTAAAAGACAAAATAGATCAGGTAGACAGAACTAAAAACAAGAATTATAGCTAATTTTTCTACAGCAACCTTGGAGTCTAGCAAATAATGGAACAATATTTTGAGATTCTGAGGGGAAACTGTTCACAACTGTATATATATGTGTCTCCCCAAATGATTAGGAGGAAGAGCAGAAGAAAAGATGTCTTTATACACAGCCCTACTATGTACTTCTCCTAGGTGTCTAAGAATTCTTATATATTTTACTTTGTATCTACTTTTTTGCATGAAATTCCTGAAAGATATGAATGAAAAAATGAGAGGACAACTACTACAAGAAGCAGAAGATCCCATACAAGAGAGGGGACATGGGAATCTTTGGGAGAAAGCTGAGTAGAAGCTCAAGCTACAGCTGGAACATGAGGACTCCTCCTGTTTCCACCAGCATGAAGGTGAAAGGACGCTGTTCCGAGGGATGGGTATCTGAGGAAGGGAGTTTAAGTACGACTTTGTGAAAAATAGAAAACAAACATAAAAATCAAGGCCTCCATTTATCCTAGAAGAAACAAAGCTTTATAAGAACGTAAACATAATCAGATTATTCTATGTGCTTCAGCTGTTGAGACATATCTGTTAATGTAAGCCTTGACTATTTTCATCAGAATATTATCAATATTGGAGCACTGGGAAAGGAATGAGTGTGGGCTACGTGTGTTGTTAAGAAATAGTCTTCTCATTTCATAATGGAAATTCAATACACAATACCAAATAATGCCACCCAAAAGTCAAGGACTAGAAACAAAAGTTTTTTACTAAGAGAGATAGAAATAATTAATTACCAAATATCAAAAGACAGTTAACAGCTGAAGGAGTGGGAATATGGGAAATGGCAGGGAACCGGAGATTTGTATGTAATTCCTATGAAATGATGTGACTCCCTAAACCAAAATCAGGTACATGTGAAACTTTGAGTAAAAATTAAAACTGAAAAGAGCTAAAGACATTTATGTCCCTAATTGGGCTCCAAATGTAACAGCTGAAATATGCTTACAGTGGATGTGTACACTCTTGAATATTGCACATTCGTCTGATAGGTTTTGGCTTCTTACTGGCCTCACAGAAGCTACGATGAACCATTTTATTATCACTTTTCCTGCGGCATCCATATTTAGTGTACTGGAAACCTGGAAAACGAAACATATTTCTTTGAATTCAGTTATTTATTTGTCAAATACCCATTCACCTATGCACTCACTTATTCGTTTCATAAATACTTATATACATAGTAAGCCAGGTCCTGTGACAGGTCTTAGAGGTTTTATCACTTTAAGTGAAAAAATTCTTACTTTTCTACCCTAGAGTTAATAAATATCAAAAATTGAGACAGCAACTGCACCTCTGCTAGTGAATCAGACTGAATACACACAGCGCAGTGTGAGAACAGATTCGAAAGCACTGTGACAACACCCAGGACCCAAGGTTTTCACAGGCTCTGAGTGTGTAGACAGCACCAGAGGGGCACAGGGACCAGCAGTGCCCGGAGCAGAGGAACCCTGGAGCAAAGCGTTGGGTAAAGGAAACGAAGCAGGACTGTACTCCTGGGACAGGAGCTAACAGAAAACTCCAGGCGCTTCAGAACGCTGACATGCTCAGAATGCAGAGGGAGGAGGAGGAGGAGGAGCGGGCCTGCAGGCCTTGAGCTGAGGCAAACTTTGGACTTCATCCTGAAGGCCATGGGATTGACTGAACAGTCTCCCTGCAACTGCCATTTTCATATTTGTAAAAAATAAGTTATAAAAGTTCGAAAATGTTCAAGCCTACAAAGAGGTTGTAAGGAAAGCATAATGAATATCCACATGCAATCTTTTGTTACTATGTCACCATATTTACTACATGAATATATATATATATATATATATATATATATATATACATGAACATCTATCTATATATACACTGCACGTTTAAATTTTTTTCTGAACTATAAGAGTAAGTTACTCTCATCTTGATCCTTCACTCCTAAGCATTTCATAACAACTACATAATTACAATATAATTATTGGGATCAGGAAATTTAACACAGATGTAATTTTATCTAATATAGTATTCAGACCATATTCAACACCTGTCAAGTATCCTTACAGCAACGCTTTTCCAGTTAAGCGTTATGTGTTCATTTAACTGCTCCATTCTTTAGCTCTATCAGATATAATTTCTAAGCCTCTTTCTGTCTTTTGTGGCATTTAATAGTTTTTGAAGTATATAAGCTAGCTGTTTTGTAAAGTGTCCCTCAGTTTGGTTTGTTCAGTGGCTCCTCATGATGAGATCTAGGTTATTCACATTTGGGCAAGAATATCATTTAAATGATGTCGTGTATTCAGGACACCCTAAGGGAAGACTAAGGATTTTAATCAGGAAAAGAACATGATTCCACTCATTCATCCACAAAATTTTACCCTGGAAATAAAGGAGAAGAAGAAAAGGCCAGTTAAGTGGGAAAGAGGCCATGGCAACAATCTTCCCTTCCAGAACAGTGAGGAAGCCTGGGGAGGGGGACAGAGGTCGCCCCACACCAGGATGGGGCAGTGCGCCTGGCAAGTCCGATGCCCAGTGTATACAAGCAGTCAGCAGAAAAAAGGATCCAAGTTAAGTAAGCATCTTGTGATGGATGAAGAATTGTCTTTCTTAATTAACTAAAACATTTTCTCCCCCCAAGCACTTGAGAAATATCTTCTTAAATTTTACATTGTAAATGGTTTACTTAGGCATTCTCTACCATGAACACATTTTTTTTGCCCTCGATTATTTGCTGTCATGTCTGTGATGGCCCTTGAGTTGTGCTGTCCCCAGACAGTCTTGCTGTGGTTGAAAACTAGAAGAACAGATGGCGGCAGGGACCAAGCCCAGCTCAGAGGGTCACTCCGAGGAAAGCAGACGCAGTGAGTGCAGTAGGGAAGGGCGCGGATGAAGAAGGCAGGCTGCCTGCATCTGAATCCCAAGTCTTCGACAAATTACTGTCTTCCCTGTGCTTCAGTTTCACCAGCAGAACAACAGAGACAAAAACAGCAGCAGTCTCTTCTGGCCTCTGTGAGTATTCATGTACCTCACAGCATTGAGAATAGCAGTGGGTTCCAAATACACAGCATAATCTGCTTTCTACTCCCACGGAGTTAACAGCTCTGTTATGAACACAAATGGAAAACCAATACACAGGCATAGAAAGTGGAGAGAAAGGGAGACAGCACCCTGAGTACGACAGGGTTTAGCAAAGGCGATGTGATCGAAAGCACCACTGCTGGGACCCAGACCTGGAGAACCAGAGCAGACAGCAAGGGATTCTGTTCTGCGACTGTTACAAGTGGGATCCTCTCTTGCTGATTCCCAAAATTTCCATAGCCATGCTTTGCATTTACACTTTGGTTGTTATGTGGGGTGTTTCTTAGCCTGCAGTCTCAACTACATGCTGTCTTTCAAAGCAGAAGTAGGACTGGATAGTCTATGGGTTGCACTTTAATATACAAATGTGCTGCATCTGTACCTCCACCACAGGGCTTGGAGCACTGCGACCAGCTCTTCAGAGCCCACTCGAAGGTGTCCAGCTCTTCCTGGATGACGTTGTTGCTGCTGATGGTGGGCACAGAGTCCTCGTGGATGATGTACTTGTATGTCAAGCTGGAGGAGCGGGTGTCGTTCCCCTGAGGTACGATCTAGCACACACAACATCAACGCGCGTAAGTCAACTGAGCATTTTCAATTTTGAGTGAAAATTCATAAATATTTAAGAATACTGTTTTCACTGACACTGGAAAACTTCCAAGCAGCTTCTAAACTACAGTGTTTTTGTTTCTATTAACTCAAGTGTAAGTATACACTGTTTAAGAAAAAATGCAAATATAAAATAGTAACATAGTATTCACTGTAGGCTTTCTGAAATTACCATCTCTTTGGTGCATTTTAAAGTTGTTCTTGATAATAAACTGTTTTGTTATGATAAGGAAGATGATGCCTCTCCAGAAAACATACAATGGAAACACATGGAGAAAGCAAAAGCCACAAGTAATTCTAAAGAACCAGAGAACACCAGGGTCACTGTTAGGGCCTGGGGAGCCGCTCGCGGTATTACACAGAGGGGTGTGCACAGGGTTTCTGCCTCGCTCATGTCCCTTTATGTGGTGTGAACATTTCCATGACAGGACATGTCCATACCAAGCAGGTGTGCCAGTGTCGGCACACTCAGTTCTAGCAGCGCCCGTTATCTCACCTCTTTCTCACTAGCACATGTACAGGTTGGGCAGTGTCTACTGCCACCTTTACGGAGCCTTGCCTCTGCAGCAGTCCACACAGTACAAGCACTAGTGCTCCTTTAAAGGTCTGGAGAATGGCCTTCATGAGGAATCAGAAAATTGCTACTTTCATAAAGAAAGTATATGAAAATGCTATAATTTAGCATAAGAGATAATTTTCACCTGCATTAATCAGGTAGGAAAAAGATCAGTTATTATTTGTTCGACAACTAGGCAAGTTTAACCTTCCTAAGTACCCCATTCACTTGCATTTGGCTCCTATGTGCAGCTTGACTGTCAGTCTTCATTTTTATTGTGCACATATTACTAAACATATTGCTCCTTTTTTGTACTATGAATTGTGGCTATTTCCTCAGTTTGTCATTTGCCTTTAACTTTTGTTTAAGGAAAACTTTTTTTTTGTTTTTTTTTTTTTTGTCTTTCTGAGACAGAGTCTTGCTATGCAGTTCAAGCTGGCCTTGAGTTCACTTTGAAGCCCAGGCTGGTCTCATACTCGCAAGGATTCTCCTGCCTCAGCCTCCTGAGTACTGGGATTGCAGGTGTGCATCACCATGCCTGGCTAAGGAAAAAGTTGTTTTTTTAAAAAAAAAGAAAAATGACTTAATTTTTTTTAGTAGTGAGGATTGAACCCAGAACCGTCTTACTGAGCTACATCTCCAACCTGTTTTTTAATTTTTATTTTAAGACAGGGTCCTGCTCATTCACTAAGTTTCCCAGATGGGTCTTGAAATCATAATCCTCCTACCTCAGCAACCCATAGCACTGGTATCACAGGTGTGTGCCACCATGCCTAGCTTTTTATTTGACTTTTACTGAACTTTTACTTTAATAGGGTTGTATCAATTATACATAGAGATAAATACATGCAGTTCATTGGTATTTTAAACTAAACTTAGGGCAAACCTTCATTTGTGAAGCCAAATGATACTAAACTCAGTCGGGGGATGGATTGGTTATTTCCATTCTATTTCCTTAATCTTTGTTTTTAAAATAGCACTAGAAGTTAACTACCAACTCTTAGCTTCCAGGCAGAGATCTGATTCTGTCAGCCTTCATAGCTTAGCCTTATGCTCCAGGGCTCCAAGCCTGGGGCTTCACGTTTATCAGGAGAAGAAAGGTCCTGATGGAAACTACTGATCCAGAGCACTCTTTCCTAGCCACACCTCCTTCCTGCGTCTCCCTCCCACCGCCAGCTGGGGTCGCCCAGGGCCATGCTTGAGGCGGTCTTTCTGTTGCGGTCTGTCTAGATCTGGGCTCAAGGGAAGGAATGCAATGTAATGATCAAGAGGGAAATATAGCCTCTGCTCCCTCATCATTCAAACTTAAAGTAATCTAAGTAAATTCTGATTACATTTAACCTGAGGATCAGAGTGAGCATGCAGAAATAGATCTACATAAATGCGGACAATTTTTGACATGAAATAAAAAGAAAATTACTTCAACTAATATTGCTGGGATTAGACATTATAGTGGTTTTAAAAATGTGTCCAAGATTAGGTGTTTTGGTTTTATCTGTCACTCAGTTGCTTGCTCATCTGAAGTCAGTGCCTTAAGCAGCCTGGGGAGAGGTGCAAGTGGCGAGGGACTGAGTTTTGTCCATCACCATATGGAAAAGCTTGGTGGAAATCTTATGAGATACCTGAGCTGGGAAGCAGTCACCCCAATGCCCAGGCAAGTATGAGTGGGTGATTATAGCTATTGCTAGCAGCAACCTCCTAAGGTTCTTATGCCAAAGCCAGTCAGGAAAGCTGCTTTCAAATGTATATCCATAAAAACTACAGAGAATGCAGCTTGTGTTTAGTCAGGGGGATAATCTGTTATGCAGCAACCAATTAGTAATCGTAACGCTTACATGCAAAGATAACTTTAGCTTCCTGTGGGAAGATGGCCGGGCAGTAAGCAGCAGCAAATCTCGCCAAGGTTTGGAATCCAGATACTGGAAAATAACAATTTGAGGAAGAAAAGGAGGAGGAGGTGGATCCCTGGGATGCAGGAAGGATCTGACAGGAAAACTGGAGCCTACAGAGAAACTGAAGAGACAGAGCACAAGGCAGAAAAAGGAGGGGGAAATCTGCACTTTCTCCCAGGCTCCCGGCTCCTGGACACCATGAGAGGTGACAGTGAGTGACTTCAGAGGCCTTCAGAGGACTTCAGCGAGAAGTGCATCAGTGGAGTGGAGCAGTGAATGCTGTACACACGACAGCATAAGTGATTCCAGCCCAAGCAACTGCCACATCCCCTAGACATGCCTGATCTGATGCCATTTTAGGGAGGAGCCAGTAACCTGGGACTCCGAGCGGCCAGGGAGAAGCTACCTCTCAGAACTCTGAGTATCAAACTCCCACAGTGACTGTCCCGTTGTGAGGGACAAGCACAGGATATGGTGAGGGTCAGGGAGCCAGTCAGGCCAGCAAGAGACACCCAGAGGGTTAGACACTAAACTACTCAGGCCCTACCCCGCGGCCAGAGTCCAGGCTCAGCCTGACTTTCCATGGATTTGAAAGTTCCAGGAACAGCTCCCCAGCCTACTCCTACGTGGGTGATTAACCAATCACAGCTCTGATGGCCTCCTCCGCCTACCAGCAAGAGCAAAGTCACGCCTGGAGCCTGACACTGCCACAGAACGGTGGACCCAGAGGATAACCACAGACCTGCAATCACACAGAATTTTTTTAAAATTTGCTTTTGATTTTTTGTTGTTATTATTGATGGGTTATTACTACTCTTTTATTATTTGTTTTTTGTGCGAGTATGAACATTGTTTTCAGCTCTTTTGTTTTGGTTTTGCTTTGGTTTTTCTTCTTTCCTTTCTCCTATCTGCTTCAGTTTCCTGAGGCTTTGGTAATCTTCCTTTGTCCTTCAGTCTTATTTTTAATCTCTTTCTCTTATTTCTCCATTTTTTCCTCACCTCCCTTTTAAATTTTCTCCCTTTTTCTCTATTTTTACTCTCTATGTAATTTTGTTGTCTTTTCTCCCTCTTTTTCTTCTTTTTCTTGATAGATTTTTGTCCTACCATTACCCAATTGTATAGAGACCTTTCTACTCCCAATAAAATCCTCTGTAGCACTTGTCTGTCCTCCTTCTCATATCATAGAGTTTCAGGTTTCAGAGTTTCCCTTTTGTATTCCCTCAGTCCCAAATTCTGAATCGTTAATAGTATTACCATAAAGCTTTGTTAATCTTTTGATAGTTAAGGCTGTAAGATTACTATCGAATTCTTTTCTACCATTAGCAGAGATGTAGCTGCTACATTTAGTACATATTAACACTAAAACAATACCTGAGCTACCTTAACGTTTAGATTGCAATTGATGGCTTATTTTCTAGAAATAAGGGTGGTACATAACTGGTTCTTATGGTATATTATATCTAATTTGTCGTGGGCAATATTACTGTAGTTATTTCATTTGATATTATAGAGGTTACATAATTGTCAATATTTCTCTGTAAGCAAACTCTCAGACTAGCTTTGTGTCATCAACAATACTAGAGTATATTCCCAGAGAACTTGGACTACCTACATTGCATCCTACTTTCCCAAAAACAACCAAGTTGGTCAGCTCTTAGAGCTGTGGCAAAGGATTACAGTAACCCACACTAAAGTCACTGAAAAGCAATCAAGGATATCGCTATACTAGCAACAAGTCTTTACACTACAAGCATCCACAAACTTCAGCACAAAATGAATGAACAAAAACAATACAAAACATGGGAAGAAATGGCAACAAACTGTGTCCCAAATACCCCAGTTTCCCCAAGCTAACCAAGAGGATACCAAGGGGCAGAATATGATAAGCCACACACCTAAACTGCAGAGAACAGCAAAGCAAAAGCAGAGCAGAAGAGGCTAGAAAACAGCTCATAGATACTCAGCAGGATTAGAGAAGATACAACTAAACATAATGCAAGTAATAACCAAAAAAGATGCAGGAACTCTCAGAAGACACTAATAGGAGACTAAATGAGCTGAACAAAATGATACAAAACATGAATGACCAGTTCACCAAAAATTACAGTGCATGAAAAGGTTCCAATCAGAGTTGAACCAAACCTTCAAAGAAATGGACTTAACCACTTAACAGTTAAACCTGAGTATCACTCAGACAGTGTGCTTGTTTACATACTGAGTATCACAGTATCACAAGTGTTGCTCAGGTAGGAGTCATTTCAACCACTGAATTCTTGTATTGAATAAATTTGATAAAGTTGTCATTTGTATATTTCTTGTTATTTTATAAAAATTAACAAAAAATATGCAAGCTATGGTCATCCTGTGTTGAAATAATTCAACTGGTAGGTGGTTAATAGAAATCTACAGATTGTTCCATCCAATAACAACAGACATGGGACTTTCTTCAAAACAGGCCACATACTCAGCAATAAACATGCTTAAGTAAATGCAA